CCACCTCCATGAATCCCTGTGTGCCATCTCCATTAATCCCTGTGTGCCACCTGTGTGAATCCCTGTGTGCCACCTCCATGAATCCCTGTGTGCCACCTCCATGAATCCCTGTGTGCCATCTCTATGAATCCCTGTGTGCCACCTGTGTGAATCCCTGTGTGCCATCTCTATGAATCCCTGTGTGCCATCTCCGTGAATCCCTGTGTGCCACCTGTGTGAATCCCTACATGCCATCTCCATGAATCCCTGTGTGCCACCTCTGTGAATCCATTTGTGCCACCTCCATGAATCCCTGCGTGCCACCTCCATGAATCCCTGTGTGCCATCTCCATGAATCCCTGTGTGCCACCTCTGTGAATCCATGTGTGCCATCTCCATGAATTCCTGCGTGCCATCTCCATGAATCCCTGCATGCCACATCCATGAAGCCCTGCACACAATTTCCATCAATCCCCATGCTGCATCCCCAGGAATTCCTGCACGCCATCCCAATCAATCCTTTCTCACCATCCCAATCAATCCTTTCTCACCATCCCAATCAATCCTTTCTCACCATCTCCATCAATCCTTTCCCGCTGTCTCCATCAATCCCTGCCCACCACCTCCATGAATCCCTGCACAGAGTTCCCATAAATCCTTTCCCATAGGATGGGATGGGATGGAATGGAATGGAATGGTCCCATAGGATAGAATGGAATGGAATGGAATAGAGTAGGATAAACTAGGATAGAATAGAATGATATTATAGGATATGATATGATCAATTAGGATATGATAGGATAGGAGGTAGGATGGAATGGAATGAAATAGAATGCAATTATATGATATGATAGATTAGGATATTATAGGAAAATAGGATAGGAGATAGGATGGAATATGATGGGATGGAGTGAAATGGTAGGATAGAATTGGCTAGGAAAGAATAAGGATAGGATTGAATTGCAGAATGGGACAGGATAATGGAAAAGATGGGATAGGATAGGATAGGATAGGATAGGATAGGATAGGATAGGATAGGATAGGATAGGATAGGATAGGATAGGATAGGATAGGATAGGATAGGATAGGATATTTTCAGTTGGAAGTTCCCTACAACAATCACCAGCTCTAAAACAAATCCCTGGAATGCAGTGCTGATCCNTGAGCGGTAGGGATGGTGACAGGCTCGGGGGCTCCGTGAATCCCTGTGTGCCACCTGCGTGAATCCCTGTGTGCCATCTCCATGAATCCCTGTGTGCCACCTGTGTGAATCCCTGTGTGTCACCTCCGTGAATCCCTGTGTGCCACCTCCATGAATCCCTGTGTGCCACCTCCGTGAATCCCTGTGTGCCATCTCCATGAATCCCTGTGTGCCATCTCCATGAATCCCTGTGTGCCACCTGTGTGAATCCCTGTGTGCCATCTCCGTGAATCCCTGTGTGCCATCTCCATGAATCCCTGTGTGCCATCTCCATGAATCCCTGTGTGTCACCTCTGTGAATCCCTGTGTGCCACCTCCGTGAATCCCTGTGTGCCATCTCCATGAATCCCTGCATGCCACATCCATGAAGCCCTGCACACAATTTCCATCAATCCCCATGCTGCATCCCCAGGAATTCCTGCACACCATCCCAATCAATCCTTTCTCACCATCCCAATCAATCCTTTCTCACCGTCTCCATCAATCCTTTCCCGCTGTCTCCATCAATCCCTGCCCACCACCTCCATGAATCCCTGCACAGAGTTCCCATAAATCCTTTCCCATAGGATAGAATGGAATGGAATGAAATGGAATGAAATTGAATAGAATAGAATGGAATAGAAGAATAGGATAGGGTAGAATAGAATAGAAATAGAATAGAATAGGATAGGATAGAATAAGATAGGATGGAATAGAACAGAATAGAACAGAATAATATTATAGGACATGATACGATCAATTAGGATATGATAGGATAGGAGATAGGATGGAATGGAATGAAATAGAATGGAATTATATGATATGATGTGATAGAATAGGATATTATAGGAAAATAGGAGATTGGATGTGATATGATGGAATAAAGTGGAATAATAGAGTAGAATAGACTAGAAAAGAATAAGGTCAGGATAGCATTGCAGAATGGGATAGGATAATGGAAAAGATGGGACAGGACAGGACAGGACGGGATAGGATAGGATAGGATAGGATAGGATAGGATAGGAATAGGATGGGATATTTTCAGTTGGAAGTTCCCTACAACAATCATCAGCCCTAAAACAAATCCCTGGAATGCAGTGCTGATCCCAGCACCGTCACGAGCAGAAATGCTCCTCCCAAACCCCCTGGAGCCGGGGGGATGTGCTGAGATCCCATCTCCCCCTCGGCAGGGGATACCTGTACGCTGGGCTGGAATTCGGGGCCGAGTGCTACTGCGGGCACAAGATCCAGGCGTCCAACGCCAGCGAATCCGAGTGCAACATGGAATGCAAGGGCGAGCGCAGCAACACCTGCGGCGGCATCAACCGCCTCTCCATCTACCGCCTGGAGCTGGCCCAGGAATCCGCCCGCAGGTGTAAGTTGGAGGCATCCATGTGGGTTTTCCCTGGAATGTGGGGATCTCCTCGTGGTGTTGGAGGGGTGATCCCGGTGTTCCTGTGCTGTTAGAGCTGGGTCATGGTTCCATGGAGAGCCTGGGAGTGTTTTATTCCTGGAAACATCAGGAATYGCCCTGTGGGGAATGCTGCCAGCTGGGGTTGGGTGGAATAAGAAATCCAGCTGGAGTTCAGGGAATATTTGTGAGACTTTAGATGGAGATTTCTTTCCAAATAGCCAAACAGGACCATCAGTGTGTCCAGTGTGGAAACGACATGAGGAAATTCCAGACAGGGCTGAGCATGCTCCCTCGTTTGGCTCMTAATTAGGCAGCTCTATAATTACCCACATTCCCTGCTCGTCTTTCCTCATATCTGAGGAATGGGCAAGAGGGAGGCAGCAGCCAGGAATGCACAGGGGCTGAGGGATGGGATCCCAATGCTGGGAAGGGCCAGAGCAAACCTGGCCCCGCTCTCCTTCCTGGCTTCAACCCTGGGATCACAGAGGGAAAAAAAATAACAAAAAAAATTATCCCTGATTTTGCTGCCAGGGTTTTGCTCCGTTTTTGCACCATCAGCAGCCAGATGATCCTCATCCAATGTGGCTGCACTGCCGGAGGGGCCAGGAGCCGTTGGAGCAGTCAGGAATGCCATGTCACACTGTCACACAGAGTGGCACTGGTGACATTTTTGGGGTGTCACTTGGGCCTCTGTCTCCGTCTCTCTTCCAGACGGAAGCGCGATATTCCGGGGGTGCTTCCGCCGGCCAGAAAACGTCTCCATCGCCCTGCCCGCCAGCCAGCTCATGCTCAACATGTCCGTGGATAAATGTGTGGATTTCTGCACAGAAAAGGTACTGGGATAAACTTCACTTCTTCGTCTTCGTTTCCATCGTCGTCATCAGGGTCACACCAGATTTGAACCCGGTTTAGGGACATGGTTTTTGTGTATCCRAACAGCAAAGGAATAAATGGATTTGTGTGAGGGGACAGGAAGCAGCAGCAACCCCAGGAAAATTTGGGATGGATCATCCCARAATTGCAGTTTGGGTTGGGAGGGATCTTTAAAGGCCACCACGGGGTTCTGCTCTGGTCCAAGGGTTCCATCCTGGGGCTTGGTGCCGGTGAGAAGGGAGGGGAAAGAATGGCAGTGGGAATTGCTGGAATGGGCTGAAAGGATGCAGAAAATGGTCTGGAACCATGCTGGAATAGGTTGGAAAGATACTGGAAATAAGGTGTGAGGATACTGGAATTGGAATGATTTTGGAATGGACTGGAATGATGCTGTAAAGGTCTGGAATGAGGCTAGAATGGGATGGGGTGATGCTGGAATGGCCTGGAACAATACTGGAATGTTCTGGAATCATGCTGGAATTGGGCCGGAAGGACGCTGGAATTGGGCCAGAAGGATGATGGAAATAAGGTGGAAGGATGCTGGGATGGTCTGGAATTAYGCTGGATTTGAAAGGATGCTGGAAAGGCCCTGGAATGATGCTGAAAATCATCTGGAATGATGGTGGAATTGGAAGGATGTTAGAATGGTCTGGAATGATGCTGGAATACTTTGGAATGGTCCTGGAGTGGTCAGGAATGGTCTGGAATGGTGCTGGAATGGTCTGGAATGATGGTGGAATTGGAAGGATGTTGGAATGGTGCTGGAATGGTTTGGAATGGTCCTGGAATGATCTGGAATGGTCTGGAATGGTCCTGGAATAGTTTGGAATGGTTCTGGAATGGTGCTGGAATGGTTTGGAATTATCTGGAATGGTGCTGGAAGGGTCTGGAATGATGGTGGAATTGGAAGGATGTTGGAATGGTGCTCAAATGGTTTGGAATGGTCCTGGAATGGTCTGGAATGATCTGGAACGGTCTGGAACAATGCTGGAATGGTCCTGAAATGGTCTTGGGACGGTTTGGAATGGTGCTGGAATGGTCTGGAATGGTCTGGAATGATGGTGGAATGGGAAGGGTTGGAATGGTCTGGAACAATGCTGGAATTGTCTGGAATGTTGCTCAAATGCTTTGAAATGGTTCTGGAATGGTCTGGAATTGTCTGGAAGGACATTACAACCACCCCACACCCCTCAGCGGGGCCGGGTGCATACGGGGGGTGACAGCTGTGTCCCGGGGGATGAGGACAGTGCCATTCCCTCCTCCCACCCCGCAGGAATTCCCGCTGGCAGCGCTGGCGGGCACCACGTGCCGCTGCGGCTTTCCCAGCACGCTGTTCCCGCTGCACGAGCGCGAGGACGAGCAGCTCTGCGCCCACAAATGCGCCGCCGAGGAGTTCGAGAGCTGCGGCTCCGACGAGTTCCTGCTCGTCTACCAGACCCAAGTGCAGGGTGAGCTTTTCCCCAGCYTTTTCCCGGGAATGCCAGCAGGGAGGGTGAGCTCCCAGAATCCTGTTAAAAGCCGATTTTTTTTTTAATTCCATGGGAAATGGATTTGCCCCCGGACAGGTTGGGATTGCTGCCTGACTCAGCTGCCTCTGGATGGGTTCCTCCTTCCCAGAGCTTCTCCCTGATCCTCTCTGTGATCCCATCCCTGCTATCCAGAGGGGACAAACTCCAGGGAAACATAAAGAGGGAAAAAAAAGCTGTCACCAGGTAGAAAATTCCCAAGAGGGTTCCTGTCCTCCAGCAGGACCGTGGAGCACAGGGAGAAGGGAAAACTGTTCCTGGGAAAGGAAACGGCTGAAGGGAGCGAGGGCCCAAATTTGGGTAGTTTTGGGTCAGAGCTGGTCAGTTTTGTCACAATCCTTTGGTGTTTGGGGCTGTGCTGGAAATGCTGCTCGTTGATCCATAAAAAAATCAGGAGCATTGCTTGACACAGGGATCATTGTTACTCACTCTTCACCAAGCATGGATCTGGAAATGACAGAAAATTTTTAGGATAAATCCTCCTTTAGGGTGTTTAGGACTCTTTGGGGTGTTCAGAACCCTTTGGGATGTCCCTCCATGCCTCAGGCAGGGCACCTTTCCCCATCCTCACCCCAATCCCGGCATTTTTCCGGGAGCAACAACATTTCCCAAGATATCCCAGTGGGAACAGCACCTTTCCACGCCACATTCCCGATATTTTCCCCTGCAGACAACCGCTGCATGGACAGGAGGTTCCTCCCCAGCCGGGCCAAGCAGTTGGTGGCCCTGGCCAGTTTCCCTGGAGCCGGGAACACGTGGGCCCGGCACCTGATCGAGTTGGCCACCGGCTTCTACACCGGCAGCTACTACTTCGACGGGTCCCTCTACAACAAAGGTGAGGTGACAACGCTGCCAGGGTGCCAGAGAGGCTGGGGACAGTGCTGGTGACATCCTGGGGTGCTGCAGAAAGYRGGGAGTGGAGCGGGGTGTGACCAGYGCTGCTCTATGGGGTGGTTTGGGGTGGAGGGTCCCGGTGAGAGAATTCATCCCTGAGAGCATGGGGAGGYSCTGGRATAAAATTCCCAGAGAAGCTGTGGCTGCCCCTGGATCCCTGGAAGTGTCCAGAGCCAGGCTGSACAGGGCTTGGAGCAATCTGGGATAGTGGAATATGTCTCTTTCCAACCCAAAGCATTTTGGGATTCTGATCCAAAGAGCTGCCCCCATTGCAGGGGGAGGGCCCAACACCCGTTCCCCCAATTTAGAACCACTCACAACAATTTTATCCAGMGAGCTTGAAGGATTCTCCTGTTATTCCTCCCCTTTTTGTGGCTTTGAGAGGAAATTCCCCATTCCTCCTCAGCTGTGGTGGAGTTGGGATCTGTGCCTGGGGCACCCACRTGGTCAGTGGGGTTTGTACCCAGGKTATTCCCWAAATCCCCATTTTCCCAACACCACAGGCAGCACATTCCCTCCAAATTCCTGCCAAATCCAGCCTTCCAGAGAGCAGATGCTCGGTGAGGGATGCTGTCCCAGCCCCCAGGGTGCAGCAGCATCCCAGGGAAGGGAAAAGCCGTGGCTGGGTTTTGTTCCTCCACCCGAGCGTGGGCTCCGCGTTCGTTCCCAGTCGRAGGGGCCGGGAGGTATCCAGGCAACGGGTGGATTTATCCATCCAAGAGCCAATTACACCTCTCTAATTGATGGGATATGGCTCCTTGCAGCTTTTCCCCCGCTCCAGGTGCATTCCAGGGGTTGGGATTGATGCTGGCTCAGCCCCATGATCTGTCCCCTCTCTGGACTCCCCCATGGCATCACCCCCACTTTGGGCTCATCTGCTGCCCCACAGTGATTTTCACTTCCTTTATTTCTTTAAAGGAAACAGACTTTAAACTGTGATTGGGAAGATTAAAGCCATGAAATCTGCTTTTGACCCCACTTGGCTGAGTGTGGCCAGGGAGGTGTCACCCTGAGGGGCCCCTGTGACTGCGAGCCACCCACTCATGAATTTTATGAGACTCATGACATGGGAAAATTAATTATTTCCATCTGGGAGAGGGATGCAAACCCTCCTTCACGCCCCAGCTGCTTTCATCYGAGTGGATTTTGCAACCTGATATCCCTGTGTCATTCCCTTTTGTGGAACCAGGGGATTGTTTGGGTTGGAAAAGCCCTCTGAGACCGAGGCTGCCAAGGCCACCATGTCCCCAAGTGCCACATCCACTCRGCTTTTAAACCCTTCCAGGGYGGAGGCTCCATCACTGCCATGCCAGGGACATTTAGGGTGGAGATATTTTCCCTGATATCCCATCTAMACCATCCCAGCACAGCTTGAGGCCATTTCCTTTAATCCTGTCCATTTTTCCCTGGGAACAGACCCCCATCCCGGCTGCCCCCTCCTCTCAGGGARTTGTGCAGAGCCAGAATTTTCCCCCTGAGCCTCTTTTCTCCGGGCTGAGCCCCTTCCCCAGCTCTGTTAACCCCAGCTCTGTCGGGGCAGGATTCAAGGGYGAGCGGGATCACTGGAGGAGCGGGAGGACCATTTGCATCAAGACCCACGAGAGTGGGCAGAAGGAGATCGAATCCTTCGACTCGGCCATCCTGCTCATCCGCAACCCCTACAAGGCCCTGATGGCCGAGTTCAACCGCAAATACGGGGGACACATCGGCTTCGCCGCCCACGCCCACTGGAAGGGCAAAGGTAGGGCTGGGAATCTGCTGGGAAGTGGCTGGGAAAGGCTGGATTTTGGTGTCCATGGGGGAATTTTGGGCTGTGACACCGTTTTGGGGCCGTCTCCTGATGCAATCTTGGATGGCAGAGGGCTTCTG